CATCATAAGTACCTAACTTTGACACTAACTGTTCACAATGAGATTTTCAGCTAAGAAATTCATCAATATATATACCTAAAAATTTCACGGTTTCTGCAGTACTGCCCTTCGGTTCATTATCAGATGTAAAAGTGAGTTTTTGCTAAAACGTTTCTTGCCTAGTATGAAACCTTACGATTTGTGTTTTCAACTGGTTGAAATGTAGGTCATTACCACTATAGTAGGCAATAAACTTTTCCATATATACTTTGTATTTTTCTTCAAGGCGGTCATCATCAAAATCTGATAGAATTAACGTAAAATCGTCAGTGTATGCTGTGTACATTTCATTCCCTAAAACATTCTCTATATCATTAACGTAGAGAATGAAGAGGATAGAACCTAAAATTGATCCCTGCGGCACTCCCATATCGAGTTTGATTTTATCTTAATTTTTTGTTATTATCCCATCATTATTATATTTATGTTCTATTCTGTAAAAAACTTGAAATCCATTGAAGTGCAACACCCCTGACTCCATATGTCTCAAATTTCATTAATAATTTATTATGATTGACACAATCAAAAGCTCTACTGAGGTCGCAAAAGACCCCAACAGGGCTCCCGCCTGCCTCAATCATTTTTCATAAAAATCTAGACTGGCTGTTATCGTCGATCTATTCTTCTGGAAGCCATGCTGTTTATCATTCAAAATTGAAAATTTGTCAATGAATTTCATGAATCGATCTTAATAAGCATATTCAAATACTTTTTGAAAACTACATGGGATTCTAACAGGTCTGTAATTTTCAGGAGAATTAACGTTAACCTTTTTAAAAATTGGCATAATTTTTCCGATTTTGATACTCTCTGGAAAAGTTCCTGAAGTGAATGAATAATTTATCAAATATATAATATGTTTTATTATACATGATGAGACCTTTTTCAGAATAAAAATTGGCACATCGTCAAAGCCTGAAGAATACTTATTTTTCATTCTCCTCAACAATAAGTTCAATAATTCTGATTCACAAAACGTATTGAGATATAAAATACTTGAATTAATATTCAACGAACTTTGAGCTATGTATACCTTTGAGTTAGGCATTTGACCAATAAAATTTTTTGTTGAATTTATAAAGAAGTCATTAAACATTGAAGCAACCTCCATCTGGTGTTCTACTACTCTACCTTCAATATTTAATGTAACATTAGTAGATTTCTTCTGTTTATTGTTCAATTCAGAAATGACCTGCCAACTTGCTTTTGAGTGATTTTCAGAGTAAACAATTTTTTTTTGATAGTAATATTTTTTTGTTTTTTTTTTACTAATTTATTATGTTCTCTCTTTTTTTTGATTATAAATAGGGATAATTTTAGCACAGTTTTTTTGTAGGACAAAAAGGTCTTTCAATTTTTGACTAAATATTTTCACTTCCTCCGTAACCCAATTCTTGGAGGGACATTTATTACTTTTATATTTAGTTTTGGGAAAATTCAAATCGAAATGATATAAAAATATAGTGTAGAAACATTCAGAACTAGCATTAAAATTTGAAATTTTGTGAAGGTCTTTCCAATCCTCTTTCATCAATGCATTTTTAAAATTACCAATGTTTTGTTCGCTAAAGTATCTTCTCGTGTCTGAATAATTTATTTTATTTTTTGTGTTTTGGAGAAAGTAAAAAAGTACAGTTCTGTCGTCAGAGTATACATTGTCTATTACACATGTTCCACAATTCACAACTGAAAATATTTGATCGATTGAGGTAGAGGATGTGTCTGTGACACGTGTAGGCCACACTACCTTTGGTGCAAGGTTATATGACGACAAAATTAATGACAAGTTATTGAAGTTCGTATTTTTAAATCTATCAAAATTAAAATCTCCACATAAAAGGAAACTGTAATTTAGTTTATATAAAAAATCCAACACATCTGATATTTTTGCGAAGAATATGTTTTCGTCTGAACCCAGAAATATAAACATCATTCACAACATTCTGTTTAATGTCTATTTCTACTAAGCAAAGAAATTTTATATTTTCAAGTTCATTAATATCAGCCAATAAATGACTGATTTTGTCATTATTTATAGTGCTTATATTATTCAACAGTAGATCAGGTTTAAACGTTAACGTATCACTTGTTCCCGCTCCTTCCTCTAAAAATATCGACTAATGCACGCTCCATAGGGCCAAATATCAGGATCCATGGCTTTTCGAAAGTTATCTTCAAAAATGCTGACTTTGAATGATGAATAACTGCTGGGATACTTAGGGTTCAAAGATTCACATTTCACTTCTGGAAAGTGTGTTTCCAGCATTTTTTGCATGTCTTCTATAGTATTCTTTGGGTCCACTCTACTGACATGAAGATTTGCTTTTGTGGGAACACCTTTCACCTCACTTCCAGCATTTTTTTCTATAACAGATCTTCTTTTTCTGGTGACTTTATTCCACCGATCATTTTCTTTTGTGAGTTCGGTGTTTTCACTATCTTGGATGTGGATGTATTTATTCATAGTAGGTACAGTTTCCGCTTGCTTAAGAGCGCTTGTCTCTTCTGAATGACTGACTTCTTTGATTTTGGATGATTCACCTTTATTTAGGTAGAAGTTCCCTTCAACATTGGGTTTTTGTTGCAGCATACTCTTTTCTGTGGACATGACTATGCCAAGACATATTGTGCCCATTTTAACCCCCAACAAACTTATCAAAGCAGAAAACGGAATTGTCTGTCCTGACATTATTATTTTTTTATGTACTGGGTCGTCCGGGTTATTCGCCATCTTTAACGCCTTCACGGCAGACTCACCATACGCCTTTGTCAACATTTCAGACACTTTGTTACACTTTCATTTCATTTTTTCATGCAAAATTTGACACTTTTTTTATCCATTTGTTTTAAGAAAGGAAAATCGCAAATATCTTAAAAATAAAAACATGTCTAATTTTCGTGGTTGCCACAGACAAAGTAAACAATGAGCTGAAAATTTAATCATACTTCAGAAGCACGTACACCAATATAATAAACAATAACCATTGGACTCTCCAAACCTGTTAATTTTGAAAATTCCGGTTATTTTTTGAACATATCTCGTATAGGTATACTTTTTTACATATAGGTATGATTTCTTTTCAATGTGTCGAGTAACTTAAATGATAGTTTTAAATTGAATAATGAATTGCAGTGAAAACTCGTTTTGAATGATTTATTCATGTCATGCAATTTGACAATGCACGCTGAAATGCCCAAACCTGAAAAAACTCATCAATGACACACAAGAAAAGTGAAAAATTATTAATGAACCAAGAGGAAAAGACCATTCTAATATTGATAGTGGACTCAATTCTACAGAAAATGACCTAATACTAAAATAAAAAAATTTGCAAGTCATTGGAAATAAACCTAATCTGTTATTTGAAGCATATAGGCATATTGTGAATTATTTTAATTAATCACCCATCTATTGGAAATAAATGAGGGAAATTATTTCCGACAAAAAATAAAAATTCTTTGGGATGAGACATTACACTCAAAGTTATTACTTCAAACTCAAGACCTATTTCATCATTGCTTTTTGTAAAATTTACAATTAATATATTATATATTGAGTCATTTCACACCACTCTTTGACATTCAATCTCTTTCTAGATAATTTCGTAACGATTTAGATAATTGATATATCCAGGGTAAAACTATTGTAATTTACCTTCCGCATTCAATCTAATAAACAGGATTTGGATATATCAGCAAGATCATTTATACACAATAAAAGCAGTAGCCAGAGAACTGAACCCTGTGGAATGCAACATTTCAACTCATCAGAAGCAAGACTTTTATTTATCTTTTGTAGGTACTTGTAATTTTGGAGACATAGAACAAAGAAGAACTTTGTATCTTCTTGTATATTTTCTTTCGAGATATAGAATTGATATTCCATATATAAATACAATAATCAAGTTAAACATAATATTTTATTAAAATATATAAAGTTTCATATATAACAAAACATAACACTCTTGGTATAAAAATAAAGAATATCCTTAATTTGAAAAAGTAATGATCTAGTCTAAGGAGTATTGTCATTATTAAATATGGTGAATAATACTAACACTTTAAATTGCTACTAATATTATCTATGACTGTAAATATGAAAATACAGTCAATCACAATAACCACAATATATCAAAATAATACAAATAACTAAAACTTACAAAAACAATTTACATGGCAAAGTTAAAGTGATAGCTAGTACATAACAGATTCGTTTCAACTTCGTATGAAGACAATAACCATTAAGTGAAATTAGCAAATTATTGTTTGCAAATTTGTGCTTTCAACATTTGAAATGAAATTTTTGTTTTCTTCAGCGGCAATTGTTTCAATACTAGTCAAGTACAAACATACTTGGTTTAACAATATATTTTCTCTGGACTATCTAAAACTACACTACAATATCAGTTCTCAGTTCATTAACACACAAGTATAAATTATTGAAAAAATTTTGGCACTTGGTCACAGCCAAATATAAAAAGTAAACTGGCAATAATCTTAATTTTATTGACCATGAATAAGAAATAACAACAGTACTTTGGTATTTGAAAAAATAACAAATGTATAAACTCTTATAATAAACAAATAATAATTTCAGATATATTACAGGATGGAGTTTTTCCAGTATCATGTCTTTGAAAAAAGCAATAATGGGATGTGGTTGTCAAAAGTATTGTTCTCAATTAGAATTTGTATTCAGTAGACCACAAAGTGTATCATTTTTTCAAACGATATTACCATGTTATTTAATTTAAATCGCTATCGGTTTTTTTATAGATCTAGTATTTTGTAAAAGTTTTTGAGTGTTGTGTTGATAACTTTTGTAGGCTTTGTTAAAAAAAACAACTTTTTTAAATTATGAAGTAAAACCAATGAAAAATATTCAATGCCTATTCTATATGTTGAATGTTCAACTATGTTTTACAGAGAAGCCATTCTCATCAGTTTACAAACACTATAAAAAATAAAAATAAACTCTTGTTCCAAAACATAAATAAAAGCAAACTCTAAACAAAAACATGAATGTTACAAAACAATGGTATAATAAATAGAAACTTAGTTACGTTGTGGGGGGAAAATGAAACCTTGCTGCGTTACTCCTGCTGGGTACCAAGTAGCGGGAGGCGTAGGTGGATAAATGAATGGAGTCGGGGACATGTGCGGTAATTCCGTGTACATTACGGGAGTCATAGGCAGTACCATTTCGGACAAATCTGGTGGAGCGTGAGTGTATACTACTGGTGTCCCTAATTAATAGATAGATAGATTTCATTTATTTTTTACAAAACTTTCAGTATAAAAAAGTTCACAACGTTTCAAGTAAAAATGAATAAATGACTTCGTGACAATAGGAAAATATAAATATTCAATTATAATTTTATGAGCATCATAAAATTCCAATCGTATAAAAATTGACGAAGATGTAAAGCCATGAGCTTTACAAATTATAAATCACATATCTAACATGTTGTATATATTCAAAGTTCAGTAAAAGTTCAAGAGGTGACCACAAAAGTGTCTCTTTCTTTATGAATAACTTCGAAAAATTGATCTTCATATAAAGGATGTTTGGTTATTATTTTCTTCAATAAATTTTTGAATCTTCTGAATGGCAAGTTACGAAATTCGACAGATAAGGCATTGTATAGCTTAATTTCTATATTATCTGTTCTTTTCAACCTGTTAGCTATAGGAACAAGGTTTGATTTATTTCTTGTATCATGTTGGTGTATATCCTTGTGAGCAACTTCGTTCATCAAGATCAAGAAGCAGATTTTCATAGACAATAACTGAGTTTTGCAAATATTGGTCGACCCTTTTCATCATAATTGGCAGATTATGCTTCTTACTGCAGATTTTTAATGACAAATATTCTATTAAGATGTACCTTCGATGCATTATTTCGATTGATTATACCTAAGGACTGAATGAAAAAGTGAATGATATGTTGCAAGTGCCGCACTTTGATTTACTATTTTTTTAATTCTTTTGATAGCAAAAACTGTCTTGCTAAGTTTACTACACATCCTATTTATATCCATTTCAGGTTGGAATTTATTTGTACTCCCAAAAATTTGGTTGAATTTTTGTTATCTCGATTTAAGCAAATTGTTTCTGTTTTTTGTTCATTGAGAATCAAGTCATTTGGTGTGAACCATGATCCAGTGGGTGCCTGCATTTTTTCAATTCTTAATTTTAATATTTAATAAGTTGAACAAATATTTTTTCATTAAAGGTCTCGCGCAAGCAAGATACAAAGCTCTATTTTTCTCAGTTAATTATTTATAATTTTCGCAATTTTTTCAGGCATCTCTTGGAATTTTTTTAAAATCATCTACACGCTATTTCAAATTAAATGACACCTCGTTCATATTTTTTGGAAGCGGAGAAAAAAGTTTGACCTGAAAGGCACTTCTTGACAAGAGTACAATATAATGAAATGCTAGTAAATTTTCAGAAATCTTCGTACATTTTTATCAAAAAAGTATATCAATTTATAAAAAGTAAAACTGGAACTTCTGGCATATAATAAATTTAAAACAAATATTTTTCCCAAATTTCCTAATATATTTCAGGGCATTTGTGTTGTTTCTGCAACCAAGTGTTGCCTAACCTTGCACTTGGCTATAACGTAGGTACTGATGACTAGCTGTTATCAGTACGGCTACAAACACGTGTCTGCGGTTTGCTAATTTTTAATGAAGTCGACGAAAGCCGTTTTGCCTGGTCCTGATTGGCAATGGTTCTACCGGTGAAAAAGTTATCGAAGTGCTTGAAAAAATGATAGTCGGTTGGCGAGAGGTCTGGGGATTATAGTGGGTGAAGCAGAACTTCGACGCTCAATTTGTTTAATTTTCGGACGATGATTTGTGAAATATGTGCATGGGCGTTGTCGTGGAGCAGGATCGGACCTGTTCTGCTGACGCAATTTTCGGTACATTTCATGGATTTCCTCACAATGGGACTTTGCTGTGATGGTTTGGCTCGGTTACACAAAATTATAGTGAATCACACCAGCTGCTGATCTCCGTACAGTAACCATGGTCTTCTTTTGGTGGGTTTTCGCCTTTGGGAAGTGCCTGGGTGGCCCATCAGTTTCCAACCACTGTCCTGAACGTCTCTTGTTGTCGTAGAGGATTCCCTTTTCATCACACTTGACGATCCAATCCAAAAAAGGATCGTTTTAGTTGCGCAAAAGCAAACAACAGATCTCGAAATGTGACAATTTCTGTTGGTTTTATAGGACGAAACTGCAGTAACGTTAGTCACAAATAAAAGTGGTAAAAAACAGAAATTTTCATTTCTCTTTTCACAAATATTTTGATTGTTGAAGACAACATGGAGGCACTCCATAAAACTGCTGAGGATAAATATGATAAAATCATATTGTGTGCTGAAAAGAACAATTTGAAATTCAACAAATCTAAAACCAACACCATATTGTTCATTAGACGTGGTCAAAGGGATTCAAATGTGATACTATACGAAAATAGTGATAAATCAATTAGTCCTGTAGAAACTGTAAATATGCTAGGAATTGTTCGAGATAAAAAATTAATATGAAATCAACATATTGATACCTAATGTAATAAACTAAAGATAAGCTGCTATTCTATTAGATTCATGTCAAATCACTGCAGCTCTAGTATACTCTTAACATTGTATCATGCTAACTTTCATTTACACCTTCGATATGGCATTCTCAACTGGGGTATGAGTGCTTCTGTTAAAAGGATATTTCTCCTCCAGAAATATGCAGTTAGAATAATAGCTAAGCTAGGGTATCGTGATTCATGTAGAAATGCTTTTAAACAGCTAAACATTTTTACAGTTGCCAGTACCTACATACTAGAGGCTAGTGCATATGTTTTCGAAAATAAATCCAATGTTCAGTCCTCTCTTCCAAATCATAACCACAATACTTGTTCGAAAGATCTAATCATACCAATCGCTCATAGACCTTCTTTGTATGAAAAAAGCATAAAGTACAGTGGGTGTAAATTATACAATATGCTTCCAATAGCTCTTAAGAATTCCACAAATATTAATGTGTTCAAAAGTCAGCTGAAAAAAATGCTACTTTAAAGGACTTGTTACACCCTTCAAGAATTCACCAATCAACTAACCTAAGATCTTGAGCTTTAGCACATCTGGTTAAAGTGTTTTTCTCCAATATTTGAGAAATACTTGATAAATTGTGTGTTGATAATATTTTATTGGCTTTTTATAGTCTATACCTAGTTATAGTTATATTTATATGTTACTTTTATTACTTATGGATGTTTATCACTGTTTGTGTTATTGTGTTGTTTATATTATTTTGACTGACTTATAATATGGTTACATATTATTTTGACTGACTTTTATAATAGGGTTACATGTAGTTATTTACATTTATATGTTTTTACATTTACTTTTACTTTTATAATTGACATTTTCTTTGTTTATTGTGCATTGATTTCTGTCAACTGTACTTTTCAACCAAAGAAATAAATATTATTATTATAACACTATCATTGACAAATGCCTGGTAAATTTTTTGGACTGTTTTGGTAGAGCTTTGGTTCAATTTGAATTGATCGCTTAACGACATCATATAGTAGTAAGCTGAAAAGAGGCTGTAGAGTCAAAAAATTAAAATTTTGGAAAAATGAACAGCATCAATGTATAGAGTAAAAAATTCTCTATCGATCAGTATATACCGCAACATAGTAGAATACATATTTATTGAGATATGGAGCTACAAAAACACATGACATTAAAACGGACAAAACTTTTGCAACAACCTAATATTATTATTATTATGAAAATCTTACCTGGAGGAAACGGTATAATAGATGGATAAACCTCAACACTGGGACTCTGAGGAGTGAAAGTAAGCATTCTCTCTTGAGAAGGTACCACCGGACTTTGAATTTCATTGTTATTATTGACTTCATTTTTAGAGTTGGTATTAACATTTGGCATTTCTTGTTGGGGAGTTTCAACCTTGTCTTGGTTTTCTGGTGGTAGCCGTTTTTCACTATCATTTCTCGGAGGAGGAGGTGGTTGAAGTTCAAAAGGAGGCGAAGACCATTGCGGGTAGGCTTGATATGGTTCGACATGGTAGTTGTAATAGAACGGATAATTTTGATCTACGAAATAACAGTTTAGATTTGAATTCAGTTTATATTTACAAATAACATGAATGTTAATTACAGTTGACTCGCGATAGTCCGACACTTTACAGTCGACACGCTCGGTAGTCCGAAGCTTCGCCGTATGAGTCATCGGTTCAGTCTAGGCGGTCTTACCTTCACCTGTAAAACCGATTCATGTTGTGTCATGACTTTAATATTAAATAAATTTCTCTTCTTTTGTTAAAACTAAAGCCTGACTTCATTACATATTTTGAATCTTTTCTAGTCATATATTGCATAAAAATTCATCGTTAACTAGATTTCCAAACTTATACACTGCAAATTCAATTAAATAAAGCCAATATTTGGTAATCCGACACCACCCGCGGGCCTGTAGTGTCGGACTATCGCGAGTCAACTGTATATTTATTTTTACGAAAATAATAAATGAAACTTCATTTCCACAAAGACAATAATCTTGGTCAAAACTGAAGACCGTGATAAAGGACGTAATTTCTGATAAAAAACAGTTCATATAACACTTTGATTCCATAATTTTATTCATAAGTGACGTACTGTTTTTTGTAATTAATCATTGACCTACCATATATACGCTATGTATCACAAATGGTGAATAAATATTATTATTAACAACATGCCGTTTCTTCAATAATTTTTGTTTTGAAATTGTTACAAGAAAAACGAATCTCTTCGGTCGATGTCGCAAATGACTGCCTTGAGGAGCCTTCTTCATCATTCATATTTGAGGATTGAGTTCTCTATCAATCCTACAGATGGTGGCTTGTAACGGGAGATGTCAGCCTTTATTTGAAAAAAACTTGTTTTTGTTTCAAAAAAATAATGTAACAAACCCAAGGACATATTCAATGATTTTTGGTAATGATATTGTAAATAATTTTGCTATAGAATTTCAATCTATTTATAAATCTAATGAGCTGACTAATATACCAGAAATTAATTACGATAATACCCTCCACATAAGTAACTGCACTATTAGTCTGGGAACGATTCTAACCAAGCTAGGGAAATTAGACATTAATAAAGGTCCTGGTCCGGATGGAATACCAAATATTTTATTGAGAAACTGCCGATTTACACTTGCAAAACCATTATTAGCGCTTTTCTCTTCTTCTCTAAAATTAGGTATATTTCCTCTATACTGGAAATCAAGCTTCATAACACCTATTCATAAATCTGGTGATAAAGCTAATAAACAGAATCATCGCCCAATAAGTATTATCAGTGCTATACCCAAAGTGCTTGAGTCCACAGTATGTGACGAAATCAAAGATTCAGTTAATCAAGTTCTTATAGATGAACACATGGCTTTACCAGAGGCAGATCAACAACTTCCAACCTACTGTTATTTTCACAGTATGTGTTGAATGCTTTGGAGGAGAAACATCAAGTAGATGTCATTTATACTGACTTTTCCAAAGCATTTGACACAGTGAACCATTTGAACCAGTGAACCACAGTGAACCATTTGAAAGCAATTGGATTTTGTGGAAAACTATTGGAATGGCTGATAAGCTATATTAGTAACAGATCTAATGAATAAATAAATAAATTTTTGTTTAGAAGTATTGAAGTATAGAAAGAAGAACTGCTCATTCATCTTTCGTTTACAGTGTAATTGTAAAAATTTCATGGTTTTCAGGAAACTAATTTCTGTTTTTCAAAAAGTTTCAATAGATGAAATTTGTGAAACTGAAGCCAACACAATCAACAAAGATATCCCTTTTGGTGAGAAATACTATATTTTGTGCTTTCATTTTTGAAAAACTCCAACAACAATCTACCCATGTGCCCCTTCAATCACTCCAGAAGGTACGATCAGTTTGTGGATCCTGACTATTACAGAATGGGCGAGTTTCTATCTACAAACACAATCCTGATTAAAAAACATATTTTAAATCCCCCTCTAGGGCAGTGAGTGTGCAGCCAAAGAAACTGCTTAACAAAGCAATTATTACGACATCAACTTGATTTTGCAAGCCCTGATCGATTTTAAAAAGTACCAATTAGGTAGAGATGTTCAAACAATTTCCCATTTCGTGCTATGCATAAATTAAGTCTATCTTCAATTTTTTCTCAAAACTCAATAATAGCTCATTATGTGATTAAGCTGAAAACTTTTCTAGTTCTATTGTTTTTAGTGTCATGGGACATTGCAATCCCCCGTAAATGTATTAATTGTAATTTTCCTTCTACTGCAAAGTCCCTCCTATTGAAGGGTCTGCAATGTTCCCAGTCTACTGTTGAAAAACGATAATACAAAAAAAAGAGTCAAGAGACGTTCGAAAAGAAATTGAAGATAGACTAAATCAATGCCTAGTTCAAAATTGATAATTGTGTGAACATCTCTATCGGATTGATGCTTTTTGAAATCATTTAAGTTTATTTTGTTACCGTTTTCCTATAGCACAGTCTACTGTTGAAAAACAATAATACAAAAAAAAAAGAGTCAGAGACGTTCGAAAAGAAATTGAAAATACACTGAATTAATGCATATTTCAAAATGGAAAATTGTGTGAACATCTCTTATCGGATTGATGCTTTTTGAAATCATTTAAATTTATTTTGTTACCGTTTTCGTATAGCACAGTCTACTGTTGAAAAACAATAATACAAAAAAAAGAGTCAGTGACGTTCTAAAAGAAATTGAAAATAGACTAAATTTATGCTTAGTTCAAAATGGAAAATTGTATGAACATCTCTATCGGATTGATGCTTTTTGAAATCATTTAAATTTATTTTGTTACAGTTTTCCTATAGCACATGTTTACAACTATATTATATTATTTATTTGAAGGTGATTGACAATGTTTCATGATGAATTTCATTAGTTCGGACTTCCATTGCCTGATATTATATAAAATGAATAGCTGAATCATTTTTAAATCTTCTTTTTTAGTTCTTTCAGGGATTTCAAATCATTTTATATAATATCAGACAATGGAAGTCCGAACTAATGATATATTATATTATTTAGTTTTCTTCATGATCATTTTATAATAGTGCTCTCAAAAAAAGCTCATGAACATTAGCAAAAGTTCAGGTGCCAAAAAAAAGAATACCATAATCAATTTCAACAAACTGAAGTCTTGAAAAAATATTTTTTTACAAATTGATGCATTACTAAAATAGATTATATGAATAGCATTTCATTGAGATAACAGTAGTTGAACGTAGATCTCCTTACCATGATATGGAATCACATTTGGTGTCACTGGAGCTGATGCAACCATAGGCTTGAAGTTGAAGGGATTATGTGCCATCGGACTTTGTGGAAAAATGAATGGATCTTGGGTTGGAGTCATGTATGACTGCCAGTGTGACGAGTCCCAGTTATACATATTATCACTGACTGGATCTTGTTGGGAATTTATCGGACTCTCTAGGAATGTATTTGTTTCCGTGTGCACAGTGGTTGAGATTTCTGAGTGGTCTTGAGTTATTTCATTTGGATTATGCATCTGATAAATATAAGAATAATCTTTAGTAAATTTTCAGAGATAAGAAGTTGAAAAAAAAATTGTTTTCAGTAGGCTTACTTTTGGAAAAAAAACTACTTTAGGCAATATCACATTCTCATCTCCCTTCAATTGAATTCAAGATATACTTCAATGTCTAAACAATATGTTTTTATTGACAAAGCATTATAAAAATATATATATAAAGGAAAAGTAATAATCATTGCAGCTATCATGTTAACGTAGGAGTTCTATTAGTGATTAATAGATGCTACTTATGAAAGGTTGTGGTTTTTTCGATTTTTTGTTCGCAGTGTTCACTTTGTTGGTTTGAATTAATGAATTACACTGAATTTTACGGATTACTAATACTTATTCACGACAGCAATCACATTAAGTAACCATCTTGACTGGTGTTATACTGGACACTGAAGACTAGGACTCTTAAGAATTTTGTTTGAAAGTGGTTGACAACGTTTCATGGTGAATTTTACTAGTTCGAACTTGTGTTGTCTAATGATTCAAAATATATGGAAAAACAAAAAAAATTAGAATGAATAGCTAAAATTTGTTTGTTTGGAATAAAAACTTAGTAGAGGATAGTGTCTTCTGTATAATTCAGTGTTCATATAAAAGTATTTGTTTCGAAAGAATTTGTCTTTCATGTAATTCATTGTTTATATGAGAGTAGCTTTTTCAGTAGGGCTTTTTTCCAGTTTGTGTCTAAAAGTTACTTATTTGCACTCTCTACACATCCATGTATAGGGTTACTTATTTTAAAATTGATTACTTCCTTCCTTTCTTTGGAAGATTCCCACATTTTTTTGTATCAAGATGAAGTAGTAGAAAGCCAAAAACTTTCTTTCCCAAAAATGACTATGTAGAACCACAAAAATGATTGAGCTACTTAAATATAAGAACTTATAATTGTGGTAATGCAGAGTGACTTAGTGAGAAAGTATTATTTTTTACTATAACTCTGATGTAAGGAAAACTTTTCCCCTAAGACTCACTCAAACAAAAAATCAATCAAGATTAAAGAAGCAAATGAGATCTCACCCAAGAACCAAACAGACTGAGGTTTAGGTAACATATTATGAAAATCAATTCATGGGTTTTCATTTGAAAATTAATTAAAATCTCCAAGGCCCAACGAAATAGAAAATTGTGAAGAGAAATGAAAATAATACATTTCTATATAAAACATTAAAAAAATTAAAACTTACTATAGCAGGTGCTCCTATATAATCTTCTATGTTTTCAATTGCATCACATTTAAAAGGCATTGACATGGACGCAGACATAATACTACTTTCACTTTTTGTTCGTTTTTTGTCTTTGGTTCGTCGTTTAGGTCTTGGTATTACCTTGTCATTATTGGAAGGTACAGGACCAAGAGACCCGTTTACTGGAAAGATATTCTTCATAAACCTTAAAAAAGTTTTTATTATTATTAATACCATTTTTCAAGAGAAATCAATTTCATTATTCATTGAAATTAAGATGTAGTAAATGATGAGTATCATACATTAGGCTTGCCTATCTGGAAATAAAGTTCTTCTTCAGTATTTTTCATCTCCTGAAGATGCCAACTTAGTTAGTGAAACACGTATGGAGAATAGTATTGTAGTTCTGGTGTATGGGAAAAGTGCTTGTTGTGGAATCATACATATTGTTAACTATTTGTTTGAAGAGTAATACCTACCTACATGTCATACTGATAACTGGCAGCTTGTGATGTTTTTTGTTTTTTTTTTCTTCAAGAAAACAATGCCATAAAGGTTAATAAAAATAGAAACTAAAGGCAAAATTCATCAATGGTAATCAAAAAGAAATTTTTAGTATCTCAGAGATTAATTAGCTAACAACAGATAATTTTCTCGAGAGAATTTATCTGGTTGAAGCTGGAATGATTCTACAACCGTGTTAGGAATCACACGTTAAAAGGTAAGACCTCATTAGTCCTTAGCTCGCACAAGTTTCTCAACTTCTGAGAGTTGTCGTTGGTATGGGGGCGGCAGCTGAATAACGGAAATACAGATTTTAAACAGATTAATCAACTTCAAGTTTGGGCAAATTATAAAATATTAGAATTTAAAGTAATGGATACATGAGATAAACTTGCAGACAAGCAATTAAAACTAAACCAATAAAAACAATTTATGGTACAGATAAAACTAGAACTAACTAAAATGAGCGTGAGTCAATTCAACCTAGAAAATTCATTGAGCTACTAAGGCATCGGACAAACCAGAAGTTTAAGAATATGTGGAGGAACAACGAAACAAATATCAAACATGTTCATTGGCCACATGAATTTTTGGTGTAACTCTTTTAATTTTTTTCCTTTACAACTTTCACGTTATATCCTTCAATATACTCCCCTTCACTTTCCCTACACTTCTCCATTCGAATTTTTCACTTGTTCAAAACAGTATTTTAAGTAATTTTCTGAAAGCATATTCATAGTTTTCGTCGCTTTTTCCATAAAAGCTTCCACCTGGTTCCTTTCAATTTCTTCACTTTCGGAAACAAAAGTCACACAGAGCTGGATCTGCTAAGTAAGATGGGTGTTCCATGCTTGGAAAAAATAACTTGACTAACTATCAGTGTGCAGTGTGGGCTAGAACTTTGTTCTAATAAAGCACCTTCGACTTTTTATTTCTAAATTCTGGTTATTTTTTTCTTATTCCCTCACAGAAAGTGGCTAGAACCTCAAAGCAATATTCTTTATTTACTGTTTGTCCTGCAAAAACCCAATTCACATAAAGAAATCCATGGATATAAAAAAAACAATCATCATGGACTTGAATTTTGATTTGGACATTTGAGCTTTGCTCAATCATATTGACTGTGTAGTGACTGTGACAGTGCAGTGATTGGCCCTTAGTTTTAGGATCATAGGTATAAAACCATGATTCATCACACGTAATAACTATTTCCTTTTTCCATCAGTTTAGGATTTTTTCTTGATGTTCATCAAGATGTCAGAACAAATGTCCATTTATATGGTCTATTTGTTCAGAAGTAAGGATTTTGGAACACACCTTTCTCTTGCTGAAATGTTCATGTAATATTAGTCTAAATGATTCTTTGTTAATTCCTACAGGCTAGGCAACTGTAAGCATATGCAAACGGCGATCTTGACTGATGAGATTGACTACTTTCTCAATGTTTTCAAGGTTTAAGGACATCCTTGTCGTGAATCACGTGCAGTATATTCTCGATCTTCTCAGAAACATTTATACCACTCAAAAACCTGCGTTCTTGACGTACATTCATCCACAAACACTTGTTATATCCGACACAAAGGGTGTAACCCAACTGAGCAAGCTAGTGTCGTCCAACCAGCTGGAATGTGAAGGGGAAGTGTTAGGCATCTCAGCAATATGGCGTTTGACCTCGAGACTTCCACCGTTTGTCTCACCGGTTATTTTCTAGCCACACCTCCTAAATTGTATGACTAAGAACTTATGTATTCTAGCAATATGCATCCATCTTCCAGGCGTATGCTTCACTTAAGGAGACTTAAGGTCTCTTAATATGGAATTGGCAATGTACCCTTCAGAAAACTCCCGAGATCAAATGATTGTTCACTCATATTCTCAATATTAATACAATATTCTTCAATCTGAATAATGTATAATACTGTGTTCACACTCACCTATAAGGTAATGGCCAAGGTTTTGCCCCATCCTCTGGTGATAAATCAGAGTAGTTCACTGTTCTTTTCTCAGCCATTTTGGTTATGTAAATAACACATTTATTTTGATCTTTTGTGATATCTTGAATATAACACTCTAACTTTTCGTTATTATGGTCGTCGTTGAATATACATTTGGTGCCAAGTATAAGTTTATTGTCTCCATAATACCAATCTCCGAGACGCATTTCTGAAAAAAAATCATTCATAAAAATTTACAGTATGATTCATGATAAATATATGCAGTATTATTTAATATTGATCTTCAACCAATATTTATGTTTATATCTCAACTGTGAAGTTGAACAATGGCTTTGAGCCACCCCATGCATGATGAATATGATAGTTTTCAGTAATACTTACATATTGAAAGGTGCTCAAAATCGTTATTTGGTTAATAATTTCAACCATTTAGCCAATATTACTTGTTAGATATTATGTGACGATTAAGCTATTGATATAATTTTTTCTTAACAGGTAAAAAGAATGTTTGAAGGTGGTAGACATGGTGAATTTCATTAGTTCGGACTTCCATTGTCTAATCTATATATATAAAAATGGATGTTTGTTGGTTGGTTGGTAAGTGATAAACTTCTATATCGCTCAACTGATCGTGATGAAACTTGACATACATAAGTAATTTTTCATAGAGAAGGTTTTTAGGCCATCAATTTTTCTGTAACTCGCCACTAGATGGCGCTGTAGAACAATTTTTTTGAAAGCACTGTTCTATAATGCTGCGCACGCCCAAGTTCGTTGATTCTGATTCTGTCAAAACATTGGAACAGCAGAGATACAGCAACATAGTACTAGTATGATATAAAATCATTTATCATGGTAGACAATGGGAGTCTGAAGTAATGAAATTCAGGTAAGAAGAATACTAAGAGTACCTACAACTTAATTAACCAGAAGAGTTAATTTGAAATTGTGTTATGTGATAACATATCAATTTTGACAGTGATGAGTGCCTCAAAGCAAAATACAATGCCAATAAGTATTGATGGACAAATGAAAATTGTCATAGGTATACCTACATTTTTTGGTATTGAATTTGTGTAATTACAATAAAGGAATAAAGGATAGAAAGTAAATTAGAGGGAGGTAGACAGGTTCTAAAATATTATTTGGCCTATTTGAAAGAAAATGTGTCATATTTAGTAAATATTATATTTTCCAAACAAGTAATTGTCATGACATATTGTATAAGTATACAATCAAATTTTTAGTATGAATATTAGCTCTGCACCTTTAACAAATCCCTGCATCAAGCCAGTATACATGTCTATGTGTTTTTTATCTTCATATTATGTTATACGATTTCTTGTAGTTTTTGAGCTATAAATGTTTCAATGTTTCTATAGGAATTTTCGGCCGGCCCTGTTTAAATTTTTCTTGAGTATTTTTTTGTTACACGATCCTTATGAATGGTTGAATTTTCATCAATTTAAAACAAATCATGTTCGACAAGGCAAAGTAAAACTTTCTGAATATGTTTGAAACATATTCTTTAGCTTCTTGGTGGTATCTAGTAAGTTATCATCTGAAGTACTGAAATGAAATTTTTCAGTGAAAAATAAAACAATGAATACAATGAATTCATATCATAACATTTGTCTTTTGCTTTCTCTTAATTTTTACCTCTTCCCTTCTTTACTTCTATGCTGTAATTCTGTTTAAAAATCTATTTAAAATCTGTTTTTCCGTTAATCAGCTGTCGCAATAACCTAGTAATTAATGAAAAATAATAATAATATTTATATGAAATATGTTATATTTTTGAGAGTTATTGAAAATATCATCTACTTTCCTAAAAACAGCAACTACCTTGTATAGCTGAAGGGTGAGACACCTAGGAACCGTAAACGATTATAAATTCAATGTTGAAAATTGACCTGCCTTTTTCAATCGAATTTTATTATTGATGAAAATGTTCATATCTTTCGGTAATGTTAAACAGCTTTATGAATGAAGAATAACTCATATGGATCATGTAACAAAAAACTACTTAAGAAAACCCCTCTCGGTAAATAAAATAAAAAATACTCAAGTTGATCCAGTTTAATAATTACATTAAAAAGTTCGTAACTCAAAAACTACAAAAATCGCATGACACATATGGGGGTGATTCTGATAGGACTTGAAGTTATCTATCTAAACAATTTGAACGTCTCTCTATATATAACAGGAAATTTTCAAATTACAACGTATTTCATCCTCTGAACTGTCTGAATAATTCGTTTGTGACAATCAGTTTAGTTACCAATGTTGTTAACTTAAGAGTGACTAAGAAGGTGAATAATAAATATGCTATATTGTCTAAAGAGAAATTGTTATTGACAAAGGTTTCAGTAAACACTTACAAGTTTAGCCTCTCCTTCAGTCCAAAAAAGGCAAGTACCAATTTCAAAAAACAGTTTTCTCCATAAACAAATGATTGTTTTCAAGTCATAAAAAAAATTTAAACAATCAAAAGTTTAGTAAAAGAGCTGAGTGCCATGAATAGTATTGTTCTAAAAGAGCCAAGTGCTGACAGCAAAAATTTGAGGGTATAAAGGTTTGAGAGTGTATTCGAATTTTTTTTTAATGCATATGAAAGCATTTCCAGAAAAAGTTATTCAATATTTTTCAGGGACAGGAAATCCTTAAGGAGTGTAAAATTGAAATATTTTCTATATTTTTTGAGTTAAAGTATACTATTTCAATTTATCAATTGATTTTTTTTTAATATCATTGGCATTCCGCCCTGAATATTCATGTCACCTTTCACACAGTATTCAATTTTTGTTAAATAAAAGTTTGTTTTAACAGGATTTGCTATGGAAAAATAAATATGATGGCGTCTTCTTTAGGAATGGGTCGTCTATAGGATAACTAGAATATCAAAGATAAATGGGGCTCCCAAAGGCAGTCTTTTACAAAGTCATTCGACATCGACCTCTGAATGAGATTCGTCCTCTGAATTTTTTTTGCAACTTTCATTGCAAGGCAACTAATTGAGCCCAAAACTCAAAAACTAGTGTTAGGCCCTCTATAGGTCTCATCAGTGGTGCTAGGCTGAACCACTAATGCACTGCTGAAAGCTAGTTAATCTAGATTAAATTTCATTAAATGGTATCTATTTTTAGGTGAAGTAAACTTTTTTTTAATATACTAATCATTTATAGAAATTTGAAAACTGTAATTCTTTCTTTGAACCAATTATTATTGCCACTTATCCTCGCCTTGATTTGCTTATTTTAAAAGTTTCTGTATCCTCATAAAGTTTTGTAGAAGTTTTAGATTTTGAAGTATCATCAATCAGGTATTAAAGAGCATAGATACAAACAATATAACTGACACCAACAGCATTAAATTCTCAAGAATAACGACTGGCACTTAGCTTCGATAGAATTGAAAATTAGGTGGAGTTAACACATAACACGTGGAGTTAACAAATTTCAGATAGAATTAAAAATATTAGACTGACCTCTCCTTACTTCTCCCCACGAGTCGTATTCAATATTTCGATAGATGGTAGGATCGAGGGCTTTTGCTACCTTGAAAGGAAATGGCGCTAAATTAGTTGACGAAAAAGACTTTTCTTCCAATTCATCACTTTCCTCCTGTATATTCAATGACTCTGAATTACACTCTTCATCAAGCATATTTTTCTTTTCTAACTCCGACTGTGTAATGATATTTTTATCATACAACATGTGATTTACTATTTCTTCCACATTAAAGATTTTGAATACCTTTTCATAAAGTACTTTATATATCACAGCTGAAAAATTGGACATTAAATAAAAACAAATAATAAATTCATAAGAAACTTACATTGACAGAAACCATAAGTAGCTATATAATCCTTCTTAAATATTACATCATAATGATCTTTATCCAATAGACAAAGAAGAAATACTTCTGGTAGGTTTCTTTTTGTGAAATCAAATACCATTTGTTTGGAAGCATCAAATATGATTATATCACGACTAGAAATTGATAAAAATTAAAGATGCCACATAAAATCAGCAAATGATAAAAAGAATGAGCCTTATAGATAAAGTTGCAGTTCGAACTGCTAGTGCTATCAAATCTCTATTTAATTTTCTGATCCAAAAAATCTCGTTTAAATACTTAAAAATCAAATGGTTCAGTGTTGAAATACTAATGAGTTTATCGAATAACAATTGTACAAAAGATTTCAGTTATTATAGTTGCCTTATTTATGTTTCAACGTGAGTTATTTTGAACATTCAATAACATTTGTGGTTATTAGGCTGCCGTGATTTCTATATTTTGGAAATTTATAACTATCATGGATGGAGCTGAGGATAAAGCTAAGTTCTAATAGAATATTTTATTCTCTTTATTATATTAACATGCGAGTACTTGGTTTCCGGATTCATTAGTTTTCCAGGTAGATTCACAAGTGGACCGATGAAGAAAAATAAGTTGATTGGGAAATTGAAAGTTGTGAAATATTAAAAACAATACTCTTGAGTTGAATTAAAGCTTTGTGAGAAATTTTGGTGAAATCAATTCCTACATGGGTTCATTAATATGAAATGAAAAACTGAGTTGACTTTTTTTAAAGTTTCACTTCAAGTTTGATTCATACCTAAAATATGTTCAATATACTATTCCATCCTTTCAACACTTCAAATTAAAAACAAAACAAAAACATCACTGTTGGCTGGTTTATGTTATTAGTAGATGTGTCATTTTCCAGAGAGAAAAACACAAAAAACTTACTTTAAATAAAAAAGAGAAAAATACAAATATTCCAGTTAGCTATTAATAAATTCAGGAAATAGTGAATTTAGCTCAGAAAAATGTCATGAATTATTACAATAAACTGGAAAATTGACTTCACTTCAAACCAAAGTGAAATACTGATTCCTACCAAACCGAAGTGAAATACTGATCCTACCGTATCTGGTATAAAAATCTCATTGTTTTTTGTTTATATTTCACCTAAAACAAGTACCTAAATAAAAATGACTCAACTTAATTTCATGCGAATTTCGAAAAAAATAAGTTTATGTTACGAGGAAAAATTCTATAAATTGAATGGAGCATGTTAAAGAACCACAACCAATGACTGAAATATCAAAATATACAAAGAAAAAGAATCAATTAAATAGCACACCCTCAAAATCTCAGCAACAAGCATGTTCTTTGGAAAATAATAAACAGCAAAGTATGGATTTGATAGGCGAAAATTGTTATGTAGTATCTTATGCATAAAATTGATATATGAGAAGAATTATCGACATGACTAGTGAAAATATCACAAAGTTAAATTTCCCACGTATAATTTGAACCAGTTTTTTTGGCCAGCTGTCGACGACATACAGAAAATATCACCTCAATAAATTTTTTATGGTCCCTTATAATTAAAGGATTCACATCTTTCAGGTTGATCACCAATCACTAGAAAAACAAATAAAAATACAGGTTCTTCTGAAATATCAATTTTAGTTTTGACTTAGTTTTATGGTATTGAAATCATAGGTAGATACATAATTAGGAATTTACCTTCGTTCAATATTTTTTAAATAAATGCTTGAATGACAAAACCCTTCATAAGAGACTGACCAGAGTACATGATTTCTTTATGTTGAATACTATTCAAGAATGTTTCTTGTTATATTATTTTTTCATTTTTGAATGTAAATATTTTGAACACCTGTTTGAGACCTACAAACATAAATACATTTTGTGTCAAAAATAATTCAAGGAAATTGTTTGACTTTTCATTTTTTCTGCAAAAAATTCAAAAGTACTTGTTTTCATTTTTTTAGGAAAATATTTATTCTATTGAGCGATTAATAAACACACTTAATTTATATTGAGTATTTATTTACCAGGCTTTTTTGAGTTTCAAATATGTCATATAAGTTATTCAGCATTTTCATTGATTCTAGAGTTTTTTCAACCTCCACAGACCTTGTTTTCAGATTTTATAAATTCATAAACTCAAGTCTCTTTCTTCAGTATTTAGCAGTTTAATTTAGATAATTATAAGTGAAGTTAAGATATATATTTGAGTTATATGATTGCAATATCAAGTTCAGTCAGTCATGCTTAGTTTTTCAGTGCTTCAATCAATTTAATTTAATATCTAGTCATATAAATTGATTTTATTTAAAATCCTGAATCAATGTGATTCAATTTCAAATTCTGTTAAATGATATTGATTGGGACTTGAATACTTGAATTTAAGCACATCACCCAATAACTTACTTGTACTTTCTGCTGATTATGCACAATTCTATATCTCCACAAACTACCATATGCTTTTCCAATTCATTCAGATGAATAAACCAATCCTTTTGTCCTATTCCTAGATTAACAAATTCCTTGTAACTTTTTCTGGCATAGGCTATGCATTCCTTTCTAACTCTTTCATGATAAACTTGACCACCAAAAACCTGTGAAACAAATTAAAATTTTTGTTTTTGAAGTTTAGAAACAAATTATTGTGCAAACCTGTTCGCAAATAGCTCTAAACAGACAAGTTTCGTCATAAGCTATATTTTTTCTATATAATCCCAGAGAATCCAACCAGCCATCAACAGCTCCAGGATTTCTACCTTTTTTCGCAATTTTGGACATAGTAAAAAACTTCAAAAAGTGTTTAAATCACTGATACACTGTCTATAAAATCAACTTTGTTGGAAACAAATGAATATCAAGAATCAAGACAATTTCACAATTTTCGCGATTATTGCATTTTGAAAATAAGAAGATTGTTAGCCTTTAGAAATTTTGGACGGAGGTACTAATAATTGTTTCCTTGAAAAGCGTAGTTCGTTTTATATATTAGGTTTATACTTGAAGGATTCACACTTCCCATCCAAATTGAATGCTCTGTTGAATGCAAAAAAACTTTAATAATCACCTTATAACACAAACACGTGCACTTAAAATTTTCTAGCCCTTGTCTTTTGTGTTCTTTGAATTGAAATATAATCTACTGCTCTTGCGCATTGCGAGTATGTCTATCAACAGGGCCGGAGGAATATATGGAGAATCGGGCGGCCGCTCCGGGACGTCAATTTCTGATTTCTGAAATCTGTAGACTCAAAGGAAAATGATTTGAATGAAATATCTGTAATTTGATTCCCCCCTGCCCGTAATATACCATATGTTCAGATCGACAAAACATAGCAATAAGGTGAAAATGATTAATAATAAGTGTTGATGGACTCATTTTGTTTCTATTGGGTAGTTACTTGGTAAATCAAATTATTTGAATTTGAAATTTTACAAATAATTTTTGCAATGTTTGTTTCAGAGTGGTTAATCATGTTCTTTGGTGAAATTCGGACTTCCATTGTCTAAAATGCTGTTAAAAGTTTTGAAATCTATGGAAGAACAAACGAATAAATAAAATTGAATTGAGTGTTAAAATTTTCTGGTTGATTCAGCCGTTATTTGATGAAGATCCATAGTAATTTCAAAAACTACACCTCACGATTTGATCTCCACAAACTTTATCACAACATGTTTCGCTAGCACAGTAGCTTTGTCAAGTGATTTATACTCCAAGTTGTTCTTACATTAATATTTATATACTATAGGTAACCATAATTGAGACTTCCTCCAAAAAATTACCTACACCTCTACCTAAGGTATCTGTTCAATTATGATCACCTGAAGCATGTTACATCATATCTACATCAATAATAATTATTTCTCGGTTTTGAAGAAAACAAGTTCAATAATGATGATCTATTCAAATCTAGTTGGTCATTCATTAGAATATTTGAATTTTTTAAGTTTATTAATTTCCATTGCTTCCAAATGATTCAGTTTCAACCTTTATTTTCCATGTGCAAAATTTCGAACTCTTAAAGATATGTTTTTATTCTAGAAGATGATTTGAATATATTGAATTTGTTTTCTTATTTACATAGCTCGTATGATGTACCTGGATTCGATTCCTAAATTTCTGCCAGTTTGATCAATAAATACCTTAGGGCACGTTCCACACTTCAATTTATATAGTCCTGATTTCTCGAATTTGGATGTTTTGTCTTTATTATTTTTAACTTGGAGTTGTGGAGTTGGATGCGGTGGTAGTGCGCCCGATTCACGATCGGAAGACCTTGGGTTCGATTCCTGCCTCAACCAGATATTTATCTTGAGATTAATTTATCTGGTTGATGCTGGGATGATTCTGCAACCGTGTTAGGAATCCCACCTTTAAAAAGTAAGACCTCGTTAGTCCTTAGCTCGCACAAGTTTCTCAACTTCTGAGAGTTGTCGTTTGTATGGTGGCGACAGCTCATTAACGGAAAAACAGATTTCAAATTAACTTTCCCAACGTATTACTTGTACTATATGCAATTTTAATATCTCGTTTCCTCAAAAATGAAGCCACTTTTTCCGTTGGTTTTCCAAAATACGTTAAAGCTCTATAATTTTGATTATCTACCTTATCAATAGAAAAAACGTCTCGAATCGCTTTCGCGTAGACTTTCTTGACAAGTATTTTGTTTATTAATTCGGCTTTAAACCCATTGTAAACCACAATTTACTTGATGATATTAAGTTCTTTATTGAAATTATCTATTGAAAGAGGAACATTGACTAATCTGTGAATCATGCTATTATAAGCTGCTACTTTGTGTTGATAAGGATAGGTAGAATTATAATGTATAGTAATATCCATATATCCGCCGACCAGTGTTAAAATTATTGAGAATACTAAAAATAATTGGGCTGAAATATTTGGTAGACTCAATCAAAAAAACAATTATGTCAAAAATAAGCAAAAATTACTTCACGTCGTTTATACGTATTATAAATTTACCTTCACATAAAGGAACCACGTACTTTTTCAATTTTTTTCTCCCTACTTGACGAAATATTATAAATTTTATCTTACTTGGAATTTGAACCTTTAATAGCTGTATCATTAACATAACTCCTAGTCTACTGAGCTACCAAGGCTTTTAATCATAAATGCGTTCATATAAATAAATAAACAAACAAACAGTGCTCTCATACCCCAGAACTGCAATACTCTTTTTGACCAGCATTTCACTAACCAATAGTTGGCGTCATCAGGAGATTAACTGAATAGTGCACCGAATAACCAACCTGATTGGTGAAAAGCATGTCGATGAGAGTGTTGCAGTTCTGGTGTGTGGGAGCAGTGTTTGTTTTTTATTTATTCAACGACAAACGTTCTAGTTCTACCTTTCACTTCATCGAAGATATATATATATCATTTTCCCCAAGAGATATTCCAGCTAGCGCCGACCCTGTTTACCAGACAGGAATATTTCATTTTTTTGTTAGGAAGACACAAACATACAAAAAATGATGGATACTGTAAACAATTATGTGAAGCTTTCATTATTGTTAAAGAACGTGGAAAGGAAATAAAACTACAAAGGAGTATTTCATTATAAGAGGCGAAATAAAAATTTTTAATAATTTGTTTGAAGAACTAATCATTATAAAAAACAATAATTTCAATATCTGAAACAAAAAAACACCAAAATAGTATCTACTGTAGTGCTGATATTAGTGATATTCCAGTGTTTTTGATAAGAGTAGATAAAAGTAATAGCTGCCAATACATTGCTTTTTTGCTTTTCAATAGCATTACGGTACCCATTCATTGATGAGGGAGTGAGATACAAAAAATTATGTAATAGATTTTTTTTCCTCAATGTATAAATCAAGTACAATCGGATCAAAATGTGTCCAATCGCATAATTTATGAAATTTTGTTTTCAAGCAAATTCTTTTGTATAGGTAGGTAATAACTTAGGATAAAATCTCTCGATCTACGATTTCCGCATGTTACCAAATTACTATAAACTTTTGAGTATGGGGTTTTTCATTTAGCGCTTCCCATCTTTAAATTTAAATAAAACATCGGGTGGAGCGCATTCGAAACGTCCAATTTTCCATAACTGGCGCATAAATCAGGCTGAATTTGACCAATGGCATGGGTTATGTTGGCTTTGAGGACCGCTGTAGTTTGTGGCTCATTCACATACACCTGCGACTTAAGATAACCCACAAGAAAAAGTCTAACGACGTCAAATCGCACGATCTCGGTGGCCAGTTCACATCACCTCCACGTGAAATGTGGCATGAGCTGTGTGGCACGTAGCGCCGTTCTGTTGAAACCATATGTCGTTGGTGTCCAGATCATCCAATTCAGTCAGAAGTTGATAATCATCGACCTATAGTGCTCGCCGTTGACAAGTGATGGCCAAGCCAACGTTGTTCTGAAAGAAATATGGACCGATAACGTCGCCGGCCCAAAATTCACACCAAACAGTGACTTTTTCGGGATACATTGGACGCTCTTGGATCTCATGTGGATTGGTATCGTCCCAAATTCGACGATTTTGTTTGTTCACGTATCTTTGGTTATTCAGTGGAGTCAGTTATTGGTGAACCCACGGGGAAAAACCTAACAGTATACACTGGAGTCTTCCATAGTATTTGACAGTTCAAATCTTGCCAATGATCTATTACGGTTTTATTTGAGAACTCTTGGATGATTTCAGAACAAAAGTGGATGGGCTTTAGTAATTTTCACTTTAGGAAAAGGAATATGGTTGTCAGAATATTATTTGTCAATAATATCATATCTCTGTATTATTTTTATAATGTATTGTCACCAAACACATTGCATATAATTACCGAAACTCTCAATATTGAAAATAGTGAAATGTTCTTTATTTTCACAAGAAAGAAGGTACCCTTCTGAATTATCAACAGAATATAGGTATACAATTGGGTCTGTGAAAGAATACACATATGTCATTAATAAGTGCATCCGATCTGAGTAGACAAACTAACATTTTAATGAAGAATCGCTTTCATTTTTGAAATACACTAATAGTGAAAACCCCGTGTTACGATTTTGAGTAGTTTTTATAAAATTCGTTACTACTTTATTAATTATTATGTAAAACATTTTATATTGTTTCAACTCTGATATATGGAGATTTAAATATACCACTGTGTGGAACATTGATAAAGTCATTTCCAATTAGTTGTTAAAATTTATAATTGCGATATAAAATTTACTTACTACGAAATACTGGATTTATTAATTGATATATTTATGTAGCTAAAAATAATTGAAATTATGGGCACTTTCAATGAACATGTAAACAAAGTTACTCAATCGATGGTAATATGACATCATTTCGTCACAAAACCTAAGAAATTGCCGGCAATTCTCATTTGTATAGGTATCTCTCTGTACTGAGTACACCTCAACTGAAACTCATTTTCTGCGTCCAAAGTTTTTGACAAAACAAAAGCTATTCGATAAAAACACCAAAGTTTTCCTGCATCTTGGGGACAGGATCATGAATGTATTTAATAGTTTTAATTGCAATTAACATTTGGTTTTTCGAAAGAAGTCCCAATGATTGTGAAACCACCCAATCAATAATTTTCAGAAGATGATTTGATAGTATCAGTCAAGTGGTCAAGATGGTCTAGTTTATAAAAGGTGTATATAAAAGTGTCAATGCACCTTCAGAAAGACATGAAGGCTGAAATCAAACATCTAACAATGTGCCAAAGCATATTTAACTGTATGATATGTCATAGCACATGAAATTGTTCTTTTTGCTCATGTGAAGGCCCAAAGTGTGCTTACAGAAAAAAAACAAATATGCAAATGTCTCGAACAGAAATATAAGCAAAGAAGTTGATATATTTCTTGAAGTTTATTCCCAGAATCAAGGACTATTTTTCATTCAAAAGACCCAGTAATGTTGCTCCAAGCTTTGAACTTAATCTCAATGTTTCTAACCAATAATGAAATAAAAATGAGTCTTCATTATAAAGTATTCTTTCAGTATCTATTGTTTCAAAATATAATAAAATAAATTTCAATAATATTTTCAACATTTTGGAGGAAAAATTCCTACAGATGCAATTGTTATCGGGAAATTTCAAATTATGTCTTTCAATATGTCAGGCAAGGAACATGTTAAAGAGGGTTCAGGAAGTAAATCATTCAATTTTAAAGTACCTAATATAAAAAACCAAGACATGGTAGTCAATCCTCTTGGCATGAAATGAAAATGATGAAAATTAAGGAAACTATTATAATCATATTTTGATTGATTTCACTTTGTCTCTACTAATTTCTCAGATGTTTTTATATGTTTTCAATTGATGATGCACAGGTTATATATCTGTTGTCCTGTTGTTAATCTTGCAAATCCTGTTTAAATGTTATATTATGGTAACAAATATTTTGTTCATTTCCAAAGGAAGTTTTGATTTGGTGAAACAGTAAAAGAAATAAAACAAAACCAAATAATTTTCGTACATAATTTACTCAAGCACCAAATTTCATGCAAAAATCAAGTCAGTTCGTACACTTAAGGCAATACAAAATAAGTACCTATACTAATAATTAAGATATCCCAGAAAAAAAATGCTTAACATCAAAAAGTTACCTAAAATGTTTTGTATTCAACAAACTGACGTGAATATTATATATGGTTGGTACTTTTCAATAGATAGTTATCTTACAATATAAATAGGTATGTCAAACATTATATAAAAGTATAAAATAATACAAAAATTGGCATTCGATTGAGATTGAGCACCAAGATATATATGTTTAAGCACTCTTTTCTTGGTCGATGACTTCCTTGGTAGGTAATGAATTCTTTTCCTGTGTTTCGGCGTGCTTCAGTTTAGTGCTGTCGAAGTTTTCAATTCCAGAGATTAAATTTCTTTGGCCCTTCTCTTGCTCGATTACTGGAAGTGGAAAAATGAAAATAATTTGGTGTAAAACTAATGATAAATGAATAATCTAACTTTTATGGTAGATATGGAATCCAGTGTATCAAGATTCCAAACTCTAAAATATGTAAAGACATTTTTTCATTTGCAGAATTAAACATGTTAAAAATGTCGATAAATTGAGTTTCTAATATAAAGTTAAATTTTATATAAAACTGATACATGTTAACTTTTCTTGTACATTTTCAACTTTCTTGTGAAAACCATTTTTCGAAGCCTCCACTCACCTTCTTTATCTGGTAGAACTACTTTTTCAGCAGTTTCAGCATGCTTCATGGTGGTTTTATCAAACTGTTCAACTCCGTTCAGTAGAGTTTGATGGGTTTTTTCTTGTTGAACAACTGACAAGCAAAAGCAAAAAACATGCAAAAAAACAAAAAGGTTAGCTAATTAGTGCATTAGGAATATTTTAATGGAGACAAAATATAGTTTAGGGGAAATTTTTAAATAAGAAGACAGTGATATTTTCCAAACAATATGCAATAATGATTATACTATAATAAAAAGCAGTTTCATGCAATAATACATATTTATTATTTCTTCAGTTGTATTTTTTGAACACCATGAATCGAATGTTTTTTGGAGAAATAGAATTACTTTACTGTAATTTTGATGGGAGGCTTTCAATAAAAATTTTGATTTTTGAACACCAACTTTCAGCATAAAGACACCAACATTGTTTAGTCATTTGAGAAACCTTATGATTCATAATATGAACAATTTGGACATGGAAAGCGATGAAGAGCAGGGAGAAACAAGAGTCTATCAGAAGAATTAGTGAAGGAATTGGTGTAATGAAAAATTTTCGGAGAAACGAAAGTCATGGCTACCATAGCATGATGAAATCCTCAAAAAAATAAAAGAAATTAAATAGATTTGGGAAGCTGAATACACTTATTGAATGAATGAATCGAAGAGGTTTTGTATGAAAGTCTATTATTATAAAATTATTGCAAAGCGCTTTCGACTTTCGTCGCATTGCAACAATTTTATAATTATACACTTTCATACAAAACCTCTTCGTTTCATTCAAAGAAATTAAAGTCTAAAACAAGTTCTAGATCTCCTGGTGTTAGTGTTGAAGTATTCCGGAATCGGCAAGAGCTTGAAGAGAAATAAAGTTAGAAAACCAGCTTCAACTTATTCAACTAGAGTGTGAGCTTCAAAATATGTACATTCGTGAGGCATAAAAAGAGCGACAGAGCCCGAAACTGGAAATAGAAGATATTCATTTACGTAATTCTATGGTTCAATAATGGGTAAACAACTCCAAAGGTAATAGAAACGCATACACAGGATAGGTTCGTCAAGAAATTAGTCCTGAAGTATTCTTTGAACGATATGAATGTGTTTATTCAATCGGAAAGAAATCATGATAAAATAAAAAAATGTCTAAGGGAAAAAGCAAAATATTCTATAGCAAGTATGTTGCTAGTTTCAGAAAATCTACCAATGGTAATTAAAACAATGAAAATGAGGTTTGGTGAGTCTGAAGTAATAATTGAGGTTCTCATTTCTAAAATGAATAGGTTTCCATATATAAATACTGAAAAATTGATTTTTTCTGGAGGAAAAAGAAAAAGGAATGAATTCACATTTAGCGAGGGAAAAATTGAAAACATTCCTCCTGAAAATGTAAATACTGTAAATGATGTTAATACTATTTCTAGGCAATCAGAGGAAAAAGCTGGAGTAAGGGTAATGACTATTCAGGAGACAAAACAAAAATTAATACTGTGAATGAGTCTTGCTAAGTTATATGCTCCACAATGATATATTCAAATTCTAGCTCTCTGCGATGAAGGATCTACTGCGACTTCAATAGAAGAGGATATTAACATTTGATTGGGAAAGCAATATATCCACAAAATTTAGAAATCCTAAAATCTGAATCTGCAAATTCAAGGGGAAAAAGATTCAAAGTTAAATAGCTCAATGAATGTTTAACACAGTGGAAAATCTTTCATTGCTATTGAAGGAGATATTTGGGAGAAATAATTCCCAATAACTGAATTTGAAAGAAAAACCTATTCCTTTAATTTTTGAAAAAAATATAGTTATTCCTCCAAATGAAATTTTAGAAGGAGAAATCAAGAGTTGTTATTCGCTTTTCTTGGACTCTTTACCTTCCACATTCTGAAAAAAAAAACAGAAATTATCAATAGTGAACTTCATACAAGTGTTGAAATGACAAACCTAGTTTACTCCCTAAGTCCGGCTATAGATTTGGGTCTCCCAAGTCGAAATAACTATCCAATACATTTTTCATCGATAATCAATATTATTATATATGACAAGTTAGTGATAAACAGAACATTTTTATTGATAAAAATATATTGATTTCACGTACCACAGAATTCAGCCCTGTATAAAGTTCTCTGTTACTAATTTAACATTTTTTCAGATTGTGAAAGGTGAAATATCCCAGAAAAATTTAATATTTCTATAATTATGAACAAGTCTCTCATAAACATGCTGGATTAGATAATATATACATACAAAGAATTATTTCAGAAGAATCTGACACACATTGGTATTCAAAGTCGAATGGCATGCCAAATCAAAACTTAGAAGATTATAAACAATCATAATCTATCAAATATAAACAAACCTTGCTATAAGTGAAATGCACACATGAGCAATATTCAATAGTGACTAGAGACATATATTTTCAAAACTTTCAACATACCTTCTTTATCGGGAAGCGGGTTCTTCTCCTGGGTTAAGGTGTGCTTCAGCTTGCTGGTATCGAAACGTTCAATTCCTTCTATCAAAGCCTTCTCTGTTTTTTCGGCTGCTACATCTGTGAAATGAAGTATATGAATGACATTTCTTTCAATAGAGTAGAGAAAAAATGAAGTACCGTCTCGCGTTGTTGTCTCAAAATACACATCTAAGATCTGAATATTGAAAGAAAGATAATCTAGCGACCACGATGAATATTTATGAATATCTGTTAATATTGTTATGACTAATACAACTAAAGGAAACCAATGAAACTCTATATATTAATAAGATTCAATCAGAAAGTCCTATCCAGGGAAAATAATTCTGGAGCAATTTCAAAGGTCGTTTCTTAGTGGGACTCTGTACAGGCAGCCTTGTCTGGGAGATCTCGTGCATTATGCATGATAATGTTTTGGAACACTCCTTTGTTCAGATGAACAGAGTATAGTTTGGTATGTTCGTCAACGAAAGAATGCCCTTTTCTATAATATGTCCATCTAAGCACCTTTTCCTTTTAACGTGTGATTCCTAACACGTCTTAATAAGTAGTTGAATTTACAGTTCCTAACAGTATCAACAAATTGGAAGAAAATTCCAATAAATTTCAATTCTTTCAACTGCTCTCTGATAGATACGGTTCAGTTACTCGTAAATAAAAAAGAGCGTCGTATAGAGATTCGAAATACCTCTCGAACAAGGTATACACTAGACCCCTTGTATAATTTGAATGGTTTGATCCGTAGGGCAGGAATTTGAAACATAAATTAATGAATGTAGGCGTTACTACGTGGTAGGAAATCATAATGAAGAAAAGAGAATTAAAACTTCCTATGTCTTTTACCACTTTTATTTGTAACTAAAGTTACATTAATGTATAAGTTGAAAAACGTCCTTATAGGACGAAACTGCAGTAACTTTAGTTACAAATAAAAGCGGTAAAAAACATAGAAAGTTTCAATTATCTTTTCTTCAATTTGAAAAATTCAATGTAAAAAATATAGATTTTTCAAAATTGAAAATGGCCATTTCTATCATGAAGATACTGTTTTCATTTTATAGGTTTCCACACTGTATTAAAAAACAAGTAGTGGGTTAACTGGGTACTTCGACAAATTATTATTTCAGTATGTTAGTTAGTAACTAGAAAGATGTGTTCATGCATTTATTTTGTTTCAAATATCAGAATAAAATAAACCGCAATATGCTACAATGAAATGCAGTTGTTTTCTAGCTGATAATGAAGCATCCTCTTGTCGCCAATTCTGTACAATAGTCACATTGTGGAAACAGTACTCATTACTGTTTATAGAATACAGCAGACTAACATCTGTTTCATGTTCTCATCGTACCTATACCGATGTCTAGCCACTCTGTGGAACTGCAATTATTTTATTTATCTGAACGATTGGTTCTGTCATGTTAATCTTTTTCACATCCAAAACATGTTAGGTATTTATAGTAACTTCTGAGTCATTAACTTGCCAAGCGAAAACAAATCAAGAGATAAGTAAGACAATATTCCAAACAGTTAAACAAACAATATTAAGTTACGGGTTTTAATATTGATAATGATATCTGTGTCTCCAAAATAATTCAATGTTATTGGTAGTATCGCTTAGATGGTAATTTTATTTGTAAGGAAAAACACTCGGTGTGTCTACCTTCCTCCCACACCTCAACCTCCTAAGAGGCTAATAAATGGCAATCTCCTTGAGGGTTTATGATTTTTTCTTTAAGATTATGTTATTTTTTCTCAAATTTGGGCTTCTATTTTTAATTACATGATTAAGTAGTAACAGAGAAGTTTGTATATTTGTTTTTATGTCAGATGAAAATTACTGATTCATGTGAACAGTTACAGGGATATTTAGATAAAGATATAGATAAACTCAATAGATCAGCAACAAAAATATAGTAGAGTAGGGTAGAGTAGAGTACTATTGATAAAGTGCAATTGAATAGTTAATATCAGACAAGGTGACGTACAGTGCATTTCTTTAATGCCCCCCGTTTTATTTTTGAACGGTTCAAATAAAAAAATTGAAATTTGGGATAATAAATTATTGCATGAATACTTTATTTTGAAGTGAAATTGACAGATGACATTTTCAAGTCGTCATCTGGGAAAAAAATTAAATGGAAAGGGGTGTCTTGTGACACATCATTTTGAAGCTCTTGACGAATACTTCACAACCCTAGAATATGAAGTCAAAATCTTCACCTACTACAAAACGGCGGAACATTTAATAATTTCTTGAAGGCAAACATATTAATATCGATATTTCTAGAAATACTCCTTTTTATCTGCCATATGGCAATTCCAACAACCCGATAAGGTTTGTTAAGTTATTTTTCGAGCATCTTTTGAACCGACCTCAAGCTTATTACCTCATATTATGTAGTTAAATGTCAATGTATTCAGGCAATTATTAAAAGTTTGGTTATTTTGTAACAGTAGTGAAGCATTTGTTTAAAATCGAAACAGATTTGTTACAAGCTTCAAAATGATGTGTCTCAATACCCCCCTTTCCATTTAAATCTTTTCCCAGATGGCGCCCAGTTGCCATCTTGAAAGTTTCATCTGTCAATTTCACTTCAAAATAAAGTATTCATGCATTGATTTCCAGATATTTTTCTCGAGAGAATTTATCTGGTTGAAGCTGGGATGATTCTGCAACCATATTAGGAATCACACGTTAAAAGGTAAGACCTCGTTAGTCCTTAGCTCGCACAAGTTCCTCAACTTCTGAGAGTTGTCGTTCGTATGGGGGCGACAGCCAATTAACAGAAAAACAGATTGTAAACAGATTTTTTTCAAATTTATTTTCATTTCCATAACGATTTTCTTCACTTTCTCAACATTTTCATCGGTTGTTGTGCTAAGGTGTCCAGGGCGAGTGTTGTTATTCACATCTACTCGACCTTCTCTGAAAAGCTTCTACCACTTGTAAACATTTTTATGACTCAGAATACAATCACCTTATACCACTGTCATCATTACAAATATTTTTGAACGTTTAATTACATTTTTTACAAAAAATTTGATGCAAATTCTTTGAACAATTTTTTTGATAACAGAGAATCGTCGAACACACAAAATACTTCAAACTTTTATGCCTGTCACCAACAAACTAAACATGCTAAACAGCTAAAACTGTGAAGGTATGTTCGAGACGAGTGTACAAACTTAAAAAAACTTGAATGACCTAACACTGAATGGTCGTAACTTACTGTTAAAACTGTACAAGATACAAAGAAAGTCCTGAGAATAACAAACAGGTAACTCTAGAGTGTAACACACGCAAAGTCATTTTTCTAATTCATTGTCATGTTTCATAATTGTCACCTGACCCCTGTACAAATGATAATTTCTATTTATTCTATTAATTCTTCGGATCGTGAATGTTTGAACGAGAATTGGTTACAACTAACAGAAGGAAAACGTAGAGTACAAACTCGAAATATAATGCAACCTCTTCAATCCAAACACATGTTAATCTGACCATTCCGTAATCCGAATGTCAAGTGGTACTTCCAACGCTAACTCGGTAATCTGAACGGTACAATAGCATGTGCGTTTAGAGAGGAACAACATTTTTTGAAGCTGACTGGCGCAATGTACGATTTGCTATTACTCTCACACATACAGATACAACGAAAGGCACGGGTAATCCTTGAAATCTTTGTAGATTGATTCCATTCCGAATTTGTTCCATCAGTTAGTCAGTTAATCTCAGTTCAAAAGCCATTTCAGTTTTGGACACTGCACGAGAATATCCCATAAAATCATTCACTTCATTACTTCAACCAATGGATCAGCATGTAATTCATGCCATAAAACTAGGTTACCGTAAAAATCTGTTTCTGTAGAGTAGGGAGGGAGGGTGAGTGTAGGCCCACAGCACTTATGCCACATGTGACCCATTGTACATCCTCCCGAGAAGTTGTCCTCATCCTGGCCTTTCCAGGAAGATGGACAGGTCACTGGGAGACATCTCCTTTATATCGGCAGGTGTAGGCCAAGACTCACCGAACACACACTCTCTTATTGACGATAACTCCGGACACTCGCATAGGACATGCCTGACAGTTTCATCTTTCTGTTCACACAGACACAGGTGTGTCCTCTAGCCCCATATTATGGAAGTGTTTCCTTAGTTGACAGTGGCCACTGTTAAGTGTAGATTCTTCCTGGTCATCGCCAGATATTTTTTCGGCGCCAGGTTCCCAGGGTCGCCCAGGGTGATCCTGGCAATATTGCATCCTTTGATTTCACCCCATCTCTTTAGGGATTGAGCATGGCTGTAACGTTTGGCTAGTTGAAGGTGTCACTAGCGGTAGGTGTCACTGGGTCATAAAATTCTTAGTCCAGCCACTTCCTTGGCTGAAGAGTCGGCATTGCGATTACCTTTACTCCTGTCGTGCCCTTTAATCCACCTCAGGATAATGTTATTATCTACCGAGGCTTTCGCTAAATTTTGGTGGCACTCTAGTACTAGCCCTGAGGTAACACGTTGTCTGTTCAAGGCTAAGAGGGCTTGTCTGCTATCAGTGCAGATTGTTATGTTTTTGCCAGAAATTCCTTTCCAGGTTATTTCTTTTGTGGCGATTGAGATACCAGCCAGTTCTGTTTGAACCACGCTAGTATTTTTTCCCATTCCCCCCTAATCCTTAGGCTCAGTTATCTGGAGTACACTCCACATCCTGAGCCTTCTTTGGTTTTTGAGCCGTCTGTATATATGCGTATTGCATTTGTAGCATCTGCCTCTATGTCCTGTTTTATTTGTATTTTCTAGGGTTTATTAAACACAAACCTGGGTTCAATTGCATCACTGGTTGCCTGCAGCAGAGGTTGCGCAGTGAGCGCTTCTCTCCATAGACTCAGCCTCAATTGACTCATTTCTACTTCGAGGTTTACACCAGCCGAGCGCAATCGTAACATGGCCTAATGGCGTTAAAACGCAACATCCGTAACGTACAGGTTCAGAGGGATAAGACCAGTGAATAATTCCATTGCCGCGGTTGGTGTTGTTCTCATGGCTGCTGTGATGTTTAAACAAGACACTCGCTGCGTTTGATAATAATTTTTTGATGGCCGTTGCTTATTGAACTTCCGGTCCCCATGCAATGGCTCCGTACGTTAACATAGGTCTTATTATTGCAGTGTAGATCCAGGTGACCACACGAGGTGAAAGACCCCATGCGCGTCCCACTTTCCTCAGACATTGCTCATAGGCCACATATGCTCTTTTTGCTCTACTTTGTAGGTGAAAGTTCCATGTTAGCTTCCTGTCGAGGATAGTACCAAGGTATTTCACCTCTTCAGAGAAGTTTAGTTTGCTTTTGCTATAAAAGATGCATTTCTTCTCGATAAGGCATGGCAAAATATAAGCGCAGATTTATTTAAAAGGTCTTGGAGTAAGATCCTTCAGACACAAGAGGAATGTGGTGAAGAAGATAATGTGCATCTACCTACTCGAAATCATCGAGCTTGGAAGAAAGCTTGACACGAGTTTGACTTAATAAATAATTAAAGAACGGGTTGTCAATGACAATTTGGTGGACGATGAATTGACCGACGCAGTAATAATTTAAGAATAACAAATTGGAAATTCCAATTCCGATAATGATATCAACGATGTAGGTGAAGACAGGCCTCACTTTGTTAAGCATGCTGACGCTGTCTTAGCTTTCAACACATGCATTTCTTCGGTGACACAGAATATTCTGCCGAAACATCGCCTCACTTTTTTACAATAAATGAGTGCTCAAGCGAGGACTTGAAATTTAAAAATAAAAAATAATAAAAAATAATTAGTTATTTTGACATTTAAGATAGGTACAATTAAAATTTTGGTTACATGTTATCTTTTATTGAAAGAAATCTTCGAATAAATAGTTTATAGGTTCTACGAAATTCAGGTTCTAGGACGGCAGGATCATGCAAAGTTGATATAGAGCTTCTGGTTTATTGAGGATAATTTCGGACTAATGAATTCTCTGTTCTGGTTTCGTCTGCGAAATGATCCTAAACTGTCTGGAACCGTCCCGAATCGTTCTTGCTATCGAGGCTGAACTGTTCCCGTTACTCATGCGCATTCATGTGGAAATTTGTATGGGCTATTTGCTAGGATGTTTTTTATTTATTTGATTTGAATAATTGATGATTGAGGGTAGATAACATTTGAACTGACTATAAGGATACGCTACATAACAAAATGGACATAATCAATAGTATTTTCTCGTCTTCATCTCTTCATATATACGATAGATGGCACAGTGGTCTCCTCAAAGGCTTTCTGGTTTAAACAAGTGTCCGAGACTATTTCGGACTGTTTGAGATTTTTTGTTTGTACGCATCACGCATCATGTCTTGCGCAGTTTCCAAACAGTTTCGGATGTTAGAACCAGAACAACCTATTGTATAGCAAATCATGTGTCGCGGTTTTGTAAACTTTCAAGTGGAAATCTCATATTAAAGTGCGTTTTCTGAATTCTACGTCACAATGAATTTTCATTAAGTATCGATCAGTTCTGTCATATTTTCGAGACACAAACGGTGAACAATTGCATAAAATATAAACCAAGTAGTTCATTTTCAAAAAGTCGGGATTTGTCAATTTTTCATACTACTTTTCGGGTATCCTGTAATTTGAAAATTCGTGCGATTAATATATGAAATATAAAGATGATTTATGTCGATCGCCCCTTTATATACAATGTTAAATGTAGTAGAAAGCCATAGCGAAATTAAAACATTAGAGCTGAAGCCAAACAAGTCGGCAATGTTAGCTTTTCCATTGCAACAGCCCAATATCTTTTACCTTCTGCATTCGGTAATACGATCTTCTCGTTGGTATCAGTTCGTTTTAGGGTGGAAGGTTTGAAATTTTCGACCCCATCCATTAGGGCGTTGTGGGTGCGCTCTTGTGCCAAGTCTACATAGAGGGTGACATGCAAAAAAGGCGACAAATACAACAAACTCATAATAGACTAGTCATTGGATGCAATTTCCATTAATGTGAGTCATCCAGACCAATTAAAATTTATTCAGACATTTTGTCTGTATTGTGTATTAACAAATATTGATGGCAATGACGGTTTTGATTCGATGATTGAAAATAATCCAAGTAAATAAGGGTCCCTTTTACGTATTGTTATAAACTTTCAACTAACGAATTTACTATGTCATTTTCATTCTTTTTAAAATATTGCCCATTAAGAATGCGTAATTTTTGTAAGTAAAGATTATCAAATGATTTGTCGATATTACATTATCCGAGACATTATCTTATCTGTGTTTCCGGGAATATTGTAAAAACCAGTGGTTTCATGGTTTTTCAACGAAACAAAACGGATGGAAAATCTTCAGATATAATTTCTTTCATATTCTAAACAAAATACTTCACATTTAACTTAGGAATATAATATCATGAACTCACTCAAACATACTTAAAACATTATGTTGAAAGATTCGAAATTTATTCCAGTTCGCAATTCGTTGGTGCGTAGGAATTCCGCCTCGAAAATACAGGAGTCCTTCATGTATATAACAAATTCGTGGGCGAAAGAATGTAGAATAAAAATTCGTTAACCCACGATTATTAGATTGTTGGAGATAATTATTATCAAATCAAATTATAACAAGAACAGAAATATCAATTTGAGGTCGATAATTTGATATACATGAACATTTCAATTAATTTTGGATAACTTTCAGGTAACCCATGTCCCATGTCGCTATTGCTCTAAAATAGTACAAAAAAAAACAATTCATTAATCCCCATATTCCAATCACATGTTTTGGATAGGCAATTCTTTCAACTTCTGCATCTTCTAGAAATGAACCTGTTCATAAAGTTAGCTCTGATTAAAAACCAGGCAGGATATAATGTGATTGTTCAATAAAATAACTCTCAAGTCAACGAACTTCAAATAAAGGGTGACAACGTCGTTAATAGATAGTGGAATCGACGTTTACAAATCGATGACCAGTATTATGCATCTGAAGTTGTACTCATGTGTGAAAAATCAAGAACCCCATATAAATTGACTTACGAGACATTTTGAAAAATTTACCATTTATATGAGTTAAAACGTGTAAATTATAACAAACGTATTTGAATTTCATTAGTTCGGACTTCCATTGTCTAATATTATATAAAATGATTTGAAATCCCTGAAAGAACCAATAACAATAGGTCTCATCAGTGGTGCTATGCTGAACCACAAATGCATTGCTGAACTCAACTGTCCTTAAAGGACGCCATCTATGAGATCGATAAAGAAGTTAATCCTCTCATGTTGTTATATTAAGTATACGAAGAATTTTTTCGAAAAGAGATACGCCGAATTGAATTTTTATATATCATAAATATTGTTCAAGCAATATAAATAATTATGTTCCACTTCAAAAGGTGTTTGATTTCTAATGAAAAAACAAAACCTTATTATAAACCTTATTAATATTTTTTGATGATTATTCTGAATTCGCTTATCAAAATAAAGTTCAATAACTAGAACAACTTCTTCGATAAACGTTTCATAACTATTTTGTTTTAGCTAAATTTGGAATATGTCAAATTGTTGCATAATCAGATATTGTTCTTCTTATTTCAGTGTGAAAACTTTCAGTGTCTGCTTTTTTTAGACATGTATATTTGTAAATATTTTATAATACGTTCAATTTTTTGCATTTTGTGCAATATCACTACCAACAAGAAATTAACTACCAATCTATGGTAGTAAAATGATGGTTACCAACTCCTTATCGCTTAAGAATATGCCACTTTTTTGAGTGTCCTGTAATTACTGATTGCTCATAGAATCCCTGATCATAAGTAATTAATTGTTTTGTAAAATGAATTAGAATAAGTACATTCAGAATATTTCACCGTTCACCATCATCCTAATTCGAACATCCCAGCAGGCATAAAATTGAATACAGTGACTAATCCTCACGATATCTCACCCCGTCCTACAAAAATAACTTCAAGTATCTTCGTCACCCCAACAAAGATGCCATACTTGCCAAAAATCAAAAATAACCGACTTGGAATTTCCAAAAATAACTCACCTTCAGCTGAAGGCAGAACAACTTTCTCTTGAGTGTCTGCATTTTTCAAATTGCTCGATTTGAAACCTTCCAGCTCGCTCTTCAAGTCTCCTGCCACTTTGGGAAGATCTTTGAGGGCTGGGGGAGCTGGAGCTACTGGAACTGGGCAAGACATCTGAAAAAAGTATACTTTTATTCAATGAATGTAGCCAGCATTGATCTGACAATTCGGGTAAACAGTATAACTAATTCTGTACACGCACTTGAATATCAATTCATTTGTTATAAAAATTAATATTAAACAAGTTGAACTGAGAAAGAGTTGCAGTATCGAATTGAGATCAAAATCCTTCAACTTCCTTGTCTAATTGTGTCCGATTTACTGCTAACGTCGTATTAAATATCGTTTTCAATTATACTTCGCTTAGCTATCGTGTTATCATTGTTCTCGTTAAGTATTTTTGTGGTAACAAAGACTGTTTATAAAATGACACGTATTCATACTTGCACACACATATTGCTTAGTCATAATTACTAATTCCTAATATTTTTATACCGCTATTATCAATACATTCAAGTGAATGACTGCTGTAACTTTTGAAAAAGTGTTTCATTCAAACAAATTTAGAAAACAAAGAACATGAATGATAAATACTTATTATACATTCTCGGACAAAATGCAGGATTTTTAGGTTTGAAGTGGTATATAGTTCGTTTTAGAATAGGTAATATCTGTACATGTATTAATTAAAACTGGTGTCCACCAGACCAGAGCGATAAAGTTACTCCTCCGTGAAGAGGAAGAATCGAATCGCTGTCCGACACTACTTAACTAGCAAAATTGGTGAGCTAATTAGAACCATCTCGTAACAGGTATTTAGAAATATTTGAAAAAGCAATGCATCGTACTTCTGGAACTTGCCATCGGATACTTTGAACACTAAGCGAAACCAAAATATCTATTATATATACCTATACATTTCCGGTTATTCAAAACTTCCCATTAGGATATTTAGAGGAAAGTTCAATTTGAATTCATGTAACGGAAAAAACATTCACCAAGCAGACTAGACAAAGAGCTACAACTTGTGGTGAAGGTTAAATATGTGGAAGAGATACCAGACTTTTTAGGAACCAACTGTCAATCATGATAATGAGAAAGACAGAAGAAGCATTTATGTTGGTAAGACACTCGCACCTATGGAAAGACATGGATGCTAAACCAGGCATGACGTAATGGATATGCACGACGATAGTTAAACCTATGATAGTATGATGGCCAAAAGACTTCCGGCGACCGTTATTACTAAACTAGGTGGGGTACAAAGACTTGCTCGTTTGGAAATAACGGGAGCATTACATTACATATTGTCATAGCTGGGGGAGCCGTAGTGATCCAATTTGGAGCTACTGGGGGAACGGGTAAGATAAAAATTTCAGAATACGTGACGGAAGCAAGATCAATCATGTTCATGGACCACAGTTATAGAAGAGTAAATGCTTAGAAGGGACATTAGGGGTAGGTTCCTTCGATCTAAGCAAGCCAATATCGGTGACCTCCGTTATTTTTTGTGGCGTCGATATCAAAGAGCTAGGTTGGATTCAGAAAAACAAATAGTTCGAGTGAAAATATCTGACACTGTGAATTATCCTTCTTCTGATGTGGTTAGAATTTCCAAATTGGTGTGTTCTGTCTATTGTCTGTTTTGAAACAATGAAAAACTGGACATGAGAAGGCGGCCTGTCTGCGAGACAAAACATTTCAATTTACCCGTGCTTGTGATTGGAAATTCTGATTGTTTACACTTTTGTGCCACATTCATCCGGAGAAGATGCTTGGCAGACAGTTGGTTTATAGACGGGTCGAAAATGGAAGATAGGGAAAACGGGAGAAATACCCAAAAAAAAAGGTCGATAAAAAACTGATTTGTCCTCCACAAAAAACGACTTTCGTTGAATATTGTATTAGTCATTATTGAAACTTAAATTATTTTCTTTTCGCTTTGTCATTAGTAATGAATAAGTTTTAACTTTTTTTACGTTATTGCTATGATAAATATCAATGGCAGCTTCTATAAAAAAGCCTGAATTAAATATTCAAACAGCATCATTTCTTAAGCCTGGCTTGATATAATTTAATCAGTAAGCTCTCAATTGGAATCTGTAAACATTTCTGGTGTTTCGTCTAGACAGGATGTTGAACCCGACCCATTTCAAAATACTCCTAAAGAATTTTCCATTCGAGTGGTGCTTCAAATTAATTCATAAAATGCCCTAAAAGATTTGAAACCTCCAAAAAACGACATCTGATAATTCTGTATACGAATTCATTTAGATTTTTTTATATTAGATTTTGGGTTTGTTGTATATATCATAAAAATACATGTCTTCCGATAACTACATACTTCTTTTTTTAGTAAAATTGTCAGTGCTCTTAAGCTATGAGTATACTGAGAACATTTCTGGACATGAAGAATAGGTAATTAAATTAAATTGTGGAAAATGTTTTGGGAAAAATTTTGCTAGATATAAATTCTATCAAATCAACGTATTCCTGTGCGCATATAATGTTCCTAGAAACATCATCCCCTTAGTGATCGGGGTCGTTCAACACGGTAAGGTATTTACGAAATAACAAGCGTTTGACCTTCAATAAAGAAGTGCTCCAAAAGTAACCAGAAATCTGATTTGGTGGTTCTGAAATCACCACTACTGTGGTACTACTGAAAACCTGGTGAGATATGAAACACGGTTTCCTGAAAACTGGTGAACCGAATATCAAAATACTAACTGATTATTTTGTTATGGTGACAGTGACGATCGAAAGTTGGCTGGTTTGAATTCGGTTTCGGTTAGTTTTATGTTGTTTTGCGAAAAAACCAGAAAATGTTTCATTCAACTAGTTTTCGTTATCGGAGATTAAAAAATATATTATATTTTACATAACTAGATGAGTAGAATCATATGATTTCCAAAACATTTAATTTACATTTTTTCGTAAAAAATCAATCATACATTTTAATGACCCAGGAAGGTACTTTTTAGCACTAAACGGTTCCAGATGTCATCAATTGCCTCATTTAGATAATGGAAGCACTGTTTAAACAGGTGTAATTAGACAATTATCAAGGCACAAGAAAATCTAGTGAACCTAACATAAAAACTCAGGTAAAACTCATTGAAAGACGACCTTCTTTTGTTTATCAAATTCAATTTACTTCTCCTATTCAGCTGAAGTTTCATTTATCGTGGGCCAATCGACCCAAGTTATTTTTCCTTCCATTTAAAAATATCGATGGAAACGCACACAATGGTCCATTATTACACCAAATTGTGCATTTACCCTTAAAGAACACAAAACTATACTCCACTTGAAGTATCAAAAAAAAGGCACAGGTTCCTTTAAATAATCGCCCATTAATTTGTTATGTCGAATGTGAATGATAACAGACTGGTGTGAAGAATATTAAAAAAAATGTATCGTCAGTTCATTAAATTCTTCATTGCTAGGGGTCCTCTGAGATTTTAATCTTCCTCTAATGCATCAGAATTTAAAAATAACTCTTGAAAAGAAACGGCCAATTTGAATATTCATTTTAATTAGCATAAGGTTAATTAATTGAAAAATGTATGGTCACAGTGTATGATTTTCAGTTTCCACTTCGAAAATGATGTATCTATAACAAAACCGTTTCAATTCAAAAATAACCAACAATAACCTAACTTAACCTAACCAACAATAATACATTTTTCAGATAACAGCTGTCAAACATTTTAATTAGTAGCAGTTTTTTTATTGAAACGGTGGATCCTTTTTCTGATTTTTTTCCCTTCTGTGAGGATCTGACACTTCTCCGTGTCTTGCCCTTACCGCCTGTAACACACAGAACCCAGCTTCTTAACGAAGGCGATTAGTTTCTATGGTGAGTGGTCTTTCAGGTCAGATTGTGAGAGTACGGCTCTGCCGAACTCTGAAAACCTGATTCGGTCCCCAGTTACAAAGTATATGCTCTGCTGTTTCATCATTTTCCTAACAGAGGCGACACATTGTCTTCCGACACTCCGAGTCTCTGCATATGATGATTCAAATGACACTGACCTGTAAGAAGGCCTCTTAGACATCGTAGTTCATCACTACTGTACTTCAACAACTGTTTGGTATCAAGCTTCAAAGGGCGAATAAACGCCTTGAAGTGAGCCAATCCTGGAAGATTCTGCCAGAAGTCCATAAGTCTTCTTGCCATCCGGGTGTTCAATCTTTGTTTGGCAAAGCCTAAAGCGATGCCAATGACAGGTTCTGGTTCGATGAAGCTGCTTGCAGCACCCTACTTTGCAAGGGAATAAGCAGCCTCATTACCTTCCGGGCTAGTATGACCAGGAATCCAGACCAGAGACAATCCATTAAGTCTTCATATCGAAGAGAGTCGTTTTTGGCAATTTGCTACCAATTTAGACGTTGCTCGGTAGGAGCCAAGAGCTTCCAACGCCGCTTGACTGTCCGAGAATATTTTTATTGACTTGTGTATGAGATTGGCTTCTTCCAATCTCTCCACACACAATTCAATAGCGTAAATTTCCGCTTAAAATACAGTCGCATAGGTTCCTAGGCAGATTGATATCTATGTCTTGGGTCTGCGACTGAAAACACCTGCACCAGAACCGGAAGGCGTTTTTGATCCATCTGTGAACCAACAACTATCTGCTCTTAATATTTCCTTCTCACGGAGGATCCAGCTCTCTCTACTCGGGAACAGTACTTTATAAGGCAGTTCGTAGTTGACAGTTGGTGACATGAAGTCAGAGGTCATTTCCAGAATGCTGTGACTTCCAGTGTCAACCAACAGTCTGTTGCACTCTGCATTAAATTGATTTGTGCAATTGGCAATGTGCACAAGTCTATATGCAGTCCATCTCTCCCCAGAAAAATGTGGAGAGGAGGTAGATCTCGAAGGATCTCCATGCCCGCTGACGATGTGGTACTAATGGCACAACTGATGGCCAGACGTTGTAGAGGTTACTGGCTTTTGGATACCGCATATCGCCGTCTGCTAAAAGCATTATAATACCTAAGGTGTTGGCGGTGTTTGTGTCTATTGTTTGCCTCCTCCTAACCACATAGAATAGGAAGAAAAAGCCAAGGAGTTTTGTGAGCGTTAGGGTTTTTCCAATGATTGG